TTGAAATGGGTATATATTTGTTTTTTGTTAAGTTGCCTAATAATTATGCACAGTAATAGTCACCTGCACACACAGATATCCCCCTAAAATAGCTAAAACTGAAAACAAACTAAAAACTACTTCCAAAAACATTCAGCTTTGATATTTTTTTGGGTTCATTGAGAACATGGTTGTTGTTCAATAATAAAATTATTCCTCAAAAATACAACTTGCCTAATAATTCTGCACTCCCTGTAAAGGCAGAAATTGGCTAAAGCACAGCTACACTGTGATGAAACAGGTTCATGAAAATATCTTTAAGATGCTTACTTAAGCAGAAGACTTATCAAAATGGGCAACATCTTACAGTGGGTCTATTTCAGTGGCCCTACAGAGCATAACTAGTCAAATTACTGTCTGTAAGGCTTCTTGAGGCCTAGTAGTGAAACATAACTTTTATGCAGCCTTCATCCATATAAGCACAGGCCACAGTTTCTAAGAACATAAGCATAACTCTATGATATTCCTTTAGTCCACACCAATGACTGTAGAAAACACCTATGAGAATGATGTTATAAACAATGTTTGAGACAAGTAGCATTTAAGTGGATCAGTCGATTAAAAAAGATCTTACTCATTTGTTATTTTCTTTGAAAAATAACTCACTTTCAGAAAGTCCAGTCATGATTCTTTGCTCACAGTAGTATGTGAAAAAACCTAATCTGATCATAGTAATAAAAAATTATAATCTTACTAGCACCAGAGAGAAACAAAATGAATTATGTGGCTTTATTTGGCTCTTAAGTGTTGCAAACATCCAAAAACAAGTAACTGCTTATTTAATTATACTTGATCCAGATGACTGATGTAACATGAAATCAATTATGGGTACAGTAATAAGGATAAATAGGACAAGTCAGGAATTAAAATACAGATGGATAACTGTGTTGGCTTTAATTGAGTTTGCAAAAGAGTTGCAAATATCCCACTGTCTTTAGTAAAAAATTCGAATTATTTACTCGGAATCTTAAGAATTACAGCAGTGGGAAAAGGGGGCTGTAATAAAATAATAACTTGCTATTAAAATATAAAAAAGAAGTACCGGTACAGTTGTGGAAAGAAAATCACAGAGTAATGGAAGATGCATTTAAGGAAAGACTGATTTTAGATGATGGGATGTCATTACAGTGACCATCATATGCACCATTTCATATGATTAATAAGATCTGAAGCCTCGCATTATTTCTGTTTGATTTCGTTTTTGTGCTAATGATAAAAAAGGAGGAGATATGGAGCTCTGCATTTATCAAGTCACCAGAAGGTTGATGACTTTTACGCACTGTGCGCCTCAGCACTCGGCCACTCTGCTCTGCACTTTACTTGCTCTGCCACAAAGTGACTCCTAAACACTTTTACTTTGCCGTATTAACACTTACAGCTAATCGAGGAATATGTGGAAGGAACGAAATCTCACAAACTGTCGTACCACCAATTGTTTCACAAATGTTTGTAGAGGCAAACTGAATGGCTAGATGCTTGGTTTTATAAACATATGACAAAGACACTAAAAACACTCGAATTCAATGAGAACCAGCGCTTTTTGTCCATTTAGTGGATTATCAGAACGAGCGTGGGATGGTAAAATACGGAATGATGTTCTGGAATGATACACTGAGTTCTCACCCTAAGTATTTAGCAAAGCCGATCATATTTCGTATCTTCAATAACGCTGAAAGTGTGATTAAACAAAGCAGAACAAAACTGAAACAAGTAAAATAAATAAGTAAATAATATTTCTGCACGTGTGATGTGTATGTGAACTGTTTCACACATATTTCCCGTTTTGTACGATGGGATAGTTTGCAATAAGACAAGCCAAATATAAATGCGCCCCTGCTAAGCCATCGGTTTTATCAAAGGTCACACACCTGCATTTATCCAAACACAGTCACCAACGATTTTTAAAGGAAGGGTTCGCCCTTATATCTAAAACGTGTATCGGTTCTCCTTCAGCTGCCTCTCGCTGATCTTAGGTGTCAAGCTGTTTCCGGAGAGAGACACATGCGTAAAACGCGCGATTTTGGCGCTGTTAGTATATATAGTAGACTTTATTAAAAGCTAACTATATGGTTCTTTGTTGCCATCTGTTGTTATGTAGCACACTTAGTGTAATATAAACTTAAGGGTTAGACTTGAGAGTTGAGATGTGAGGTGAGGTGGCGTGGCATGGTAAATGAGTGTTACTATATTCGTGTTAATGACAGAAGAGGCATTTTTGCCCAACCTGCCAGGATAGTCAGGTTTGTACGCAATTTGTGTGGCTGACGCGATAGTCCTTAAAAAAACATTAAAAAAAAACACGTTTTGACTACATACTGAGTTAAAAGATCTCCTAAAGATGTGGCTGTACATGTTTTCTTAATCATGCTTCTTATCAAGACCAAACTGCACAACCTGACAGGATACACTCAAATGTGCAAAGCACAAAACACATTGAGTTCGGATGCAAATTTACTTTCAATTCTTTTTTTTTTTTCAAAACTATGAGCTGTTTCCTATAAGAGCGGCCTGAAAACTGGAGGTTCTGACTCCCAATCTGTTTTCAACGCTCTGAACCACAAGTAACTCTACAGTCTGAGAGTGAAATTCTCTATTGTACTGTGTGGTCTTTGAGTTAAGAGGCCTGATTATACCTTGTATGTAATGCAAAGGGTTTTAATTCCCATTTTGGAATTAACAGGGAGCCAATGAAGAGAAGCCAGTATGGGTGAAAAATGCTCTCTCTTTCTACACCCTGCCAGTACTCCCGCTGCAGCGGATCAACTGAAGGCTTTTCAGGTAGTTTTCAAGACATCCTGGTTATAATGAATTAAAGTAGTCCTGCCTAGAAGTAATAAATGCATGAACTAGTTTTTTAGTATCACTTTGAGACAGGATGTTTCTAATTTTAGTGATATTCAGCAAATGGAAGAAAGCAGTCCTATATATTTGTTTAATGTGCCCATTGAAGGTCAAAACAACTCCAAGACTCCTCAGTGTTACTGGAGGCCAAGGAAATGCCATTCAGAGTAAATATCTGATTAGACAACATATTTCTAAGATTACAATAGCCTCAGCTGAGTACAATAGCCTCTATTTTATATGAATTTAGAAGCAGAAAATTCGAGGTCACACAGGTCGTTATGTCTTTAAGAGATTCCTGCAATTTAACTAACTGTGTTATCTGACTTCATGGATAGATAAAGCAAAGCAGCACATTTGATAGAGTTGATCATGATATTTTATTACAGAGATCAGAGGATGCTGTAGGTATTAATAGTAGATTCATGTTTAGCAGGACAAGCACAGACATGAGTTCACTGTCTGAAGCCATAAGAAGATCATTTGTAGTCATCACTAAAGCTATGTCTGTACTGTGATGAGCTCTGAAACATGACTGAAACTCTGAAACTGAAAGTATTCATTAATGGTAGGATGACAAAATTTGGGATAATAGGTCAAAGTTAAACTGGAGAAGCTTTCACTGGAACATTCTCTATTTATCTGAACAGACCTGTAAAATGCCTTCTGAGATGCAGCATCACCACCTTCCAAAAACATCGTATTAGCAGAGGGAATATTTTGGAAGCATCACCACCTTCCAAAAACATCGTATTAGCAGAGGGAATATTTTCTATTGTCAAACTGTATTCACAAAGTCTGTAAGCCTGTTTACCTCTTTACAGTTTTGGATCCAACATTGGTGCAGTCAGTGCCTTAAGGATGTAAGAATTAAATTTGGGAATTTGGCAATTAAATAATCACAGAAATTGAAGGAATTTGTCTGTTATGTACCTTTATAGTAATGACACAATTCCTCCTATGTCCTCACAGTAAAAAGTATTCTATATTTAAAACAGTGCAAGTCAATACAAAGTTAAAAAAAAGGCTTCTGCGGTTCTGAAACTGACCCTTCAGCATGAGCTGAATGCTTTAACTTTAATGTTTCTTTATCTTAAACCCTCTTTCCTCCTATGTGCTCACAGTAAAAGACTATCTTCACCACACTAATGACCATGAGACTTTGATTGCATTCAATGTTTTATTAAAAGTCAGAGTAGTAGTACGTATGAAAGCACATAATGCAGTCCTCTGCTCCTGTGTGCAGTTTATCTGTATTTCTCAGACAGGGCGAGAGCAACAGCAGCCAGGAACTTGTCCACAGCCACATGGACCTCAGGGCTGAAGTCGTCGGGGAACATGGTGGACAGGACCACGAGGAGGTTGTGAGACAGAACCTGTGGAAAGATGATGATCACATTGAAATGAATGGAATTTTCATTTATTTATTGGTAACCAGAGATCATCATTTCAGATCAACCAGCTACCCAAGGATCAAATGAAAGCTGAGTTAGATTTTAATTTCTGGTTGGATTAATGTTCACAACATGGATAAAAATTACATTGAGAAATGCTGTCCTGATTTAATAATGATCTGTACCTTGAAGTTAGCAGGGTCCACTCTCAGAGTGAAGGCGTGCAGCCCACTGAGGCTCAGAAGAGCTCCGGTCAGATCGTCAATTTTGCTGACAGCATCAGTAACTGCAGCCATCACGGTTGCTCCGTGCTTCCTCACCGGGGCAGAGCCGGGGCTCAGGTCCTTCCAGTGGGAGAAATAAGTCTTGGTTTGAGGGTACACTGTCAGCATCCTGGATAAAAATGTAAGAGAACAAACCAGCGAGTAAAAGACAGAAATGCAGGAGCAGGTTTTTGTAGGCAGTGTGGGGCCATATTTACCTGGAGACAGCATCACAGCCGATTTGTTCCTCCTTACCAGCCACTTTAGCCCAGAAGGTTTTGACTGTGTTCTTGTCCTTTGCAGAAAGACTGGTCATCTTGCCTGTTGTTGCTGTTCTGGTTGGAGTTGCTGTGTTCAGCTCAAACTGTGGAGGTTTTTATACACGAAACAGGAAATGCACACACCCGACCCACCTCATAGATAAGGTACTGGTGTTTGGACAGGTTCAAAATGATACGAAACACCTCCCATGAGATAAACAGACTACAAAATAAAATCTTCATAAGTTCAGGATAACTCATAACAAAGATATAAAACTATGCACTTGTATTTGAGAGCCAGTGAAATGTTTTGATGCGATCTATTGTTTGTTGTTCAGTGTTGTATCACAGTGGGTCGGAATGAAGAAACACGGATTCCAACTTTTGAAATTTTTAGCCATCGTGGCTTCATATTTGCTCATTTGTTTAATATCGGAGTCAAATGGGAAATACTTTTAACTAGTGGAAGTTTATAATAGAGTCTAGTTTTCTGCACAAGTTTCAAATTGAATTTTTTGATTAAAAAAAACAAACAAAACCATGTTTGCTTCAGAATTAATACATTTTGCCCCATTTTTTGCCTTATCACTTATTAAATCATACAACCAACACCATATACTTTTAATCTAATTTAAAAAATTGCTACAGCTTTCCTTATCAGTGTTGGAAACCTTTGATTAAAAAAATTAATTTACATCTTTACAAAAACTTATTTTTGATTCATTTTGATGGTGGAAATTAAACAGAACTGCAAAGCGTTACACAGAAGCAGCTTGACCAATGCATTATCTAACAGGGGTTATAAAAGTCTAAAAGCTGTTTTGTTACTTCTTTTTAATACTCATTCAGTAAAGAAGTATTACAAGTCATCCCACTGCCCACCTCCACCCAGCTGCATATCTTTGGGTGGAGCAAAATGGCTCCTTTATAAGCTGCATGTGGGGACCTGCCGACCAAAGCAGGATAGGCGCAACAGTCAACAAAGCAAGATGGTTGCATGGACAGACTTCGAGCGAGCCACAATCAAGGACATCTTCTCCAAGATCGACTATGAAGTCGTTGGCCCAGCAGCTATTTCCAGGTAAGATCATCGGCATAAAGCTGTTTTTATGCTTGTATGTAAATTTACAAATATAAGAGGGCACATTTTGTGCATTAACATATACTTTAGTTTTAGAAATGTGATTTATCCAAATGTTCTTGTTTCCTCAGGTGTCTGATTGTGTACCCCTGGACTCAGAGGTATTTCGCTGGCTTTGGAAACCTCTACAATGCTGCTGCCATCACATCAAATCCAAAAGTTGCTGCTCACGGAAGGTTGTAATGCAAGGTCTGTAAAAAGTTGTGAAGAACAACATCAAGGCCACATTTACAGAGCTGAGCACGCTGCACTCTGAGAAACTGCAGGTGGACCCTGACAATTTCATGGTAAGCAATGTAGAAATAATGGTACTGCATCCCAATTTGTGTATGTGTGTGTTGATGTTTTTTTTCATGCATATTTTGTAGTCCTGCAGCTTCTGGGCGACTGCCTGGCCATTGTGGTTGCTGCTCAGTTGGGTAAAGACTTCACTCCTGAGGTCCATGCAGCTTTCCAGAAGTTCCTGGCAGTGGTGGTGTCCTCCCTGAGGAGGCAGTACTACTAGAGAGCTGCAGAGGACCATCACATGTTCTGTTTTTAAATCATGTTTTAATGAGGTTTAAATAAAGAAATCTGTACTGCTCAGGCTATGTATTTTCTGCTATAGTATGCGTGAGCTCATTTATAGTGTTGGGGGAAAGTCCGCACACACACACACACACACACACACACACGCGCGCGCGCGCGCAGACATTTTTCAAGAACTAGAAAATAAATCACTATTAAAATGTCACTGTTCTGAAAGAGACAGTAGTTTAAAATGCAAATGACTTTGAATTTAAAAAAAAATAGCATGATAAAACTTTTCTGTTTTTCCTATTTCTTTTAGTAAACCAACAAATTTGGCAAAAACAACTCGATTTGGCAGCTTCCCTTCGCGTCAGCCGAATTCTCGCTTTCAATAAGGTTCAGTGTCGTTCAGCTTTGACTACGTTGTTCTGTGTCATAAATTGGCATAAACCACAGAAACAAAAAATACTCATAAAGTATTGTATGCACAAGTTTTGGACCGGTGGGTCAGCGGTCAGCGCTTTGGGAGGAGAACTGCTTGTGACGCATGTGCTTGCCCACCTTACAATTGCAGGTCAAGGCAGATGAAATACAGGCTACTGTGTGCACAGGTAATGGTGGTGGTGCTCTGTTTATGTCTGTGTGTGACTTGTACCCATGCCCCGATAACTGAATTTCAGCGTCTCACTCAGACCGCCGAGAGTGCCCAGTGTGCCCAGTGTGCATGTCCAAAGTGAGAATAACGCATTCTAACTATACTCATACTCATGCTGAACACAAGCTACACCATTAAAAACAGTCTAAATGTGTGACTTGTAGTCGCTGTTTCTGAATGGTCTGTCACTGGTCATT